TCATGGCAGTGGATTGCAATGGCTCCGGTGGTATCGTTCTGGCTGGCTCAGCAGGCAGCATTCGAATTATCACTGTTACGGCCGAGGTAATTGTTGAATTTGCAACAGTTCTGGAATAATTAATTTTATTTCGAATAATAAATCCTAATTTGGGATCTCGACATAGCTGCTCTCCCGGCGCTTGAGAGAAAGACCTTCTTAGAAACATCACTAACGTGCGATAGCACACAAATCGTCCGGACAAATATGGTATTTGCTTGATCCTTGATACGGCGTCCCCGTCACTTATGCGCTGTTGATCTTCTCCAGTGACTGATCCAAAAACCACGCCAGCAACTTCTGTCCTAAGCTCGCCTCATCCACAGTACCCCGTACAAACAAGTTAGCGAATCGCACCAGCACATCAGTGGCCTTCCTGCTACCTTTTTACACGTGGTATTCGTGGAAAATCCTTACTAATATAAGTAGTAGAGAAAAAACACCGAATTCAGCATGCTTTTTAAACAACCTTCGGAAAGGGGTAAACTTTTTGGGGAGTCGCGCTCTAAAAGTTGCTGATGTTGCGGCAGTTAGTTAGGAGATGTCGTACAAAAGGAAATTTCCGAGAGACAAGATGAAAACTTCCCACACATTCCTGTTTGGAAAACAGAGGCATTTAAGTTCCGCGAGTAATTATATTTTTCAACAGTAACAACGTTTGACATGCCCCTTGATAAGTTTTCTTGTTTGGGTTTACTTAAAAGCGAGTGATAATGGGCGTGTTTAATTGAGATATGTCAAAATCCAAGCGAATGAACGAATCGTAGATGGATGGGTTTACTCAACGGCAAACTCGAATCATATTTTATATTAACAAAATGAACGAAATTATGAATTTGAATTTTTAAAAATTTCGCAAAAGTTGTTTGTGTGTAGTTCATAAAAATTTCCGACTTCTAAAGTTAGTCCAAAAAATTGAAAAAATAAAAGCGTCTCTTTCCTTTGTACAAGTCAGAGACGCCAGGGTGTTGTTCTAGAAATCAATCATTTACTCCCAGCATCTCAAGAGGCTTTTGTGCCTCATTCATTCCGACAAGATGTACTTTGAAAAAAAAAAAAAACAAAAGTGCAATGTTTTCCCAGCGGAATAATAATAATAAATCGCCACAGTTTATAATGCTTTTGCCTGACTAGCTCCCCCAGTGTCTACCACCTCCCGCTGTTGACTTTTTTCTGCCACCGTATCCTGTGTCACCATCTTGTCCGTTTTGCCCCGTTAGACATCGCACAGAGGTAAGTAGCATTGCTTGCGTGCTGAAAATCGAGGATTCGACCCCGACACTTCGATAGTCAATCCTTATACGGTTCTTTTTGATTATAATTTAACACTGACACATGATAAGTAG